GAGAAGATGTTTATGGGGATTTGAGGGGGGTGTGGTTCGGCCATATTAGGGGACAAAGGGGTGTGAGATATATTGGCTAATTTGGTTTGTTATGGTGGTTGAAATATGGTGGTTGTGAAGTGGAAAGGGGCGGCCCAAGGGTGGGGTAAAGAGGGGTGAGATATGGTTGTTTGTGATGGGTTTATACGTCCCACACATCTCAACAAATGGGATGTTTTATTCTTAGCTTTGGAGTGTAGTTGTAGGGCTTATTTGGTGGTTAAAATGGAGGGTGTGTATGCTGTTTGGGTAGGGGACAAAGGGGGTCCATGTGTTGGGGTTTATTATGGGGATGATATGTGTTGTTTTGGCTCTTGTGTTTCAGCCAGAATTGAAGGGAAAGGGGTGAAATATTTGTGGGTCATTTTGGTGAGTTTAATGTGGTGTGTTTTTGATAAGAAAGGGTGGGGGTAAGGGGGGTACGGCCTGGGCAGTAAAGAAAGAAAATGGGTTGTTTGGGTTTATTTTAGGGTGAGGAAAAATCCAATGAATTATGGTTAAGGGTTTGGGTTTAGGAGGGTTAAATTCATTCCAAAAAGGATCGTAAGATTTAGTCATTAATCCGGTAATTTGTTTAAGGACTTTCGTAGGTACCAGGGGTATATCAACACGTCTTTCCCGCGCACTTTGTCCTCACTCGTGCGCGCCCAAGGAATTTCCCAGGAGGTCACCCATCTTAAAATTTCTCCAGGTCAAGCACGCTTAACTTTGGAGTTTCTAGGTGATGAGCTCCCGAAAAAAGATGCACCTTGTTGGTATGAGTAGTACTATCAATCCTTTTGAGCTCTTCCCATTCCCATCTTGATACGGGGTATTACAGGATTAGCCACAAGTTGTGGTGAACCAAGGTAAAATTGGTGTGCCTCTTTCTTGCTCTTTACTTTACGTTTTTAATTTTTTAATTTTTGCGATTTCTCGATTAAACGCTATTCACCCCCCCCCCCTCTAGCGTTGTTCTATCATTCTAACAGAATATTGACAGGATGCATTATATTGACTACTAGAATGCATTATATTAGATTGTTGTGATGAGAGAATGCATTATAGGAGAATGATTACCGCTGCCCCTCTTATTTTAATTTCAAAGCTCTTGCCATTGTAGTTGGTAATCGAGCCTAGGTCTTCAGCCTTTCTCATAGTGGCCTCAGGCAAATCCGCACTAGAGGATCGATGCCCCTGAAAGCCGCCGCGACCGGCTACAATTTCCGATCGACAAATCCCCTCCGCATTAAAGGATCGTTGGCGCTAGAATTGACATCAGGATCATCCTTCTTGCCGATGTTCTCGAAACCTTCACTATTCATCATCTTCCTCATGCTTCAGTTCTCCAAATTGTCACTATTCATCGTCCTTGCAATTGTTGCTCTGCATGACTATATATATATATATATATATATATATATATATATATATATATATATATATATATATATATATATATATATATATATATATAATGTTTGGTGTGTATCACTATAAGATGGCGTGCGTTTTAGAGAGAAGGGAGAGCTTCTCTGATTTTCCGTTTCCTTCTATGGTCGATTTACACCCTTCGACGCTGCTGAACCTTCCCGGAGATCCTGGCCCATCCAACAGGCGATCTCTTCCTTCCTGCCCTTACATTGGTGTCCTTCGAGGATTTTCAACAACCCTAGAAGCAGATGGTAGAAGCGGTCACACAGCAATTCCCCTCCCGCCTCTTGCCCAATTGTAAGTCTCCGAAACCCTCAGGCGAGAACCCCCAGAGATAATTCAAGCCAAAACTCAGGCACCGGCCAAATTCCGCATTGAAGGTAAGATTTTCACCTTCACTGAATCGATTTTCAATAAGAAAATCTGCGTTACTGAAAAATGTTGGAAAAAAAGCTTCAACATATGGTTAGGGTTGGACACATGTTCTTGGCTCTTAGAGGCGCTTCAGTCTCTTACAATTGAAGGAGGTCTGCGTACATCCTACCGAAGAGAGAAGAGGAGACTGCTCACCATTTCTTTTCACTCCTACAGATTTGGTAACCATCTCAAAATCTGTGAGCATCACCAAGACGGCAAGAC